TTAAAAAGGAATAAGACAAACAACTGCTGGCAGTGCAAAAATTTTGATTGGCAGACAGTTTGGTGATACATTATAAAATATATGAAACTTACGCAAATCATGTTTGAGAAGACTTGTGAAAAATAAGCCCATCCCGGGAAAATAATAAATGAGCATACCCGCCCAATAAGACGAACCCCCCAAAATCAGGCCAAAAATTTGGGCCCAGAAAATCTACTCAATAGCTGGGAAATATGTTTACTTAATATGATGCCAATTTGACCTGAAGACTGTTTTCTATTTTTCAGAAGTTAATCTTCAAAATGTAATAATGCTCGCTTTAGTGATATTTCGTATTCTCAATTTCATTGCTGCAAGTTTCTTTATTTTGTCAGCATTTGTACAATACAATGACCCAGATCCTGAGCTATGGATTCCAGTATATCTGGCTCCTGCTATCATTTCTGGATTAATTGGTTTTAAGCCGTCACTATCTGAATCAAAATTTATAAAAGTTTTTGACTTTGGATATATTTTCACTGGAACGATTTTATCTGCGTATTTGTTCCATCAAAACTATCAGGATAATTTCATCCACTGGGTGGTGCATGATGAAGTGGGGAGGGAGTTTGGCGGACTTGTGATCGTTATATTTTGGATTATTTTTATGCACGAAACATCACATTCATCTGTGAAGAATTGGTTATCGTCGGTTTTTATATGGATTCCGATTGCAAAGTGGATTTATGTTTATAACAATCAGGAATATCGTGAACTTTGGCCTCAACATTGCCAGACTGCTCTTTATCCAGAAAGTTATCCTTCAAGAGAGGAAAGCTGATAAGACAACTTGACAATTTTTGTTATAAGAAAATTTTTTCAAGTAAGGTTATGCACACGAAGTCAAAAGCAAAAGAGGTCTTTTTAGATAAGTTACAGGCGACCACAGAAGTGTCAAGAGCTGTTGACATGGTAAAGATTTATATTAATTAACTAGGTTTTAGTAAATACCAAATGACACAAGGCATGAAGGAGCTCAATATAACTAGAGAAACAGTTGATAAATTGGAGTGTACTAATACTGACGTCCGACAGGTTACCATAAATCTGCCACTACTTTAGAAAATATATTCAAATGTTCTATAAACCAGCATGGTTCCAAAAGCAGGGTCTGAAAAGTCAGTAAATCATACTGAAGCATTTGATTGAACATTTTACTACTTGATTTTTAGGTTAGAATAGGATTTACATATTTATTCTCTTATGAAAGTCAATAATATGGCTCAATCAATGGACCACAGCGTCTAGTCTGGTTACCAGTCTATGTCGGGTGTGGGATTAGTTATCTAGTTATTCATTTTCAGATGCATGAACTTGATGGTGGATGAAGGCAAAACCAACCAGTGGTTAATGTTACGTGAACCACCCTACGGCCGTGAGGAGTCCAGCAATCCTCTCGCACATAATTATCCCTCACAGAGGATTCGAACCTGCGCTCTTGCGCAAGGTAATCAAAGGTGCGGTGGCGGGCATATTCCCAATATTAAGCCTGATGCGATACATTGTCCTGTTCTCTTTTAATTTAATTTTATGACAAAAAGTAAGACTTTAGTTTGAGAAAAATTAGCTATACTTTTTAAATTGTATTCTGAACACCTATGACAAATTCTACATGGCTATTTATAACTGTTTTATTCCTGTCATATTTAGCTTTGAATTACAGAGTCAATAGTTAGAAATATCAGTGAAATGCCTCTCGAAATTAAAGTGAAGACTAATGGACATGCAAATAGGATTTTACAAGACTTGAACAGGTGAGTGTGAGACAGGGATATCTAAAATGATGGGGTTAAAGCCTAACTCGGGCAAACTACGTGACGCTGTCCGAAACCGGCCTGTTCAGTAATTCAATCTGGCCCGCCTGATGCTGCCACAACCAAACAAACAAATTTCCTTGTTTCAGCTAAAAAAAAGCTCAAGGGTTCGGGGTTGTATTGTCATTCTTTAGGAGGAATTCTGCCATGTATTTCATACCTGTAGTTTTACAAATATTCTTCAGTTCTTTATTATTACTGAAATATGTATTATGTATGTAAATCGGGAGTGCGACATGGTCATGACACTAGCTTAATCGCCTTAATCGCTTAATCGCCTTAATCGCTTAATCGCCTTCCATCGCTTTAGCATGTGCTACTCCACAACAAGCCTCATGAGCCATGAGCCTCTTGGACATATCCTCGCATATAAGCTGTTCCCCTAAAAAGAAAATAAAAATTCGCATAAAACGTCCCATTTAAACGTCTTCTTTGCAAACATGACTCTAACTCAGGGGTGGGTAAGGTTTTTAAATCAGGGGCCAAAAATTGTACCTACTAAGACTGGCGGGCCAAGTAAGTGTGACTTCCATTTTATGAACAATGTTTGCAGTGTTACAAATGTAAAATTGGAAAACAATAAGCCTCGAGCCAAAACTATATTTATCCGCAATTTCAAACCAATTCTTTGAGCCAAATCTTAGCTAAAACATCAAAATTTGGTTTCTGTTTGATTGTGGCAGCATCAGGCTGGCCAGATGGAATTACCCAACGGGCCGTAGTTTTCCTATGTCAGCTCTAGCTAATCAGCCACGGATATAGGAGCAGATATTATGTTGTTGCAAGGTCATTCTGATTTGAGATATGACTTATCTATCTATAAGACATCCTGGGGTTAAGTGGGTGTGAGTTGTCACCCGAGACCCAGTGTTCACTTCAAGAAAATTATGAGTGTGTGCGTTTCTCACAATCCAGAAACTAAAAAAGTCAAATCTTTCCTAACTGTTAAATTATGAGTAGCCAAAAAACTGAAATTCTGGTTTAATTTACCAAAAAAAATTGGGTTTCTTAGGAATGCGTGCTGCGTCACAAGCCCAAAAATAAAATGCAAACGTCTGGTTACTAGTTTAATTTAATGAAACTCAAGTTTCTGGTGCTCACTCTAAAAAAATTCTGTTGTGTAAAGGAACTGAAGCCTATGGGCAGGCGTATACTCGCTTGGCTAACACAGACAATCCCCGAACTCGTAATAGAACTGAAATGAGGAAAATCGGAATAAAATTATGGCCTAACTCTAACCTGGTAAACAAACTTTTTGTTATAACTTATTTTAAACAGCATAGGTACTCTGTTATTTCCACTTCTCTCATACCTTTGCTTTATGATATCGGGACAATCATAAATTCTTAAAAAATAAGGTCCAAAAATTTTACCACTATTATTAGCAGATGTCTTAAGATTTGTGTAACCTGGCTGCTAGTTCCCCCCACCCCTTTTCTTAACACGACTGAGCGCAAATAAAATCTGTCACTATTATCACGGGATGTCATATCCAGCCTGAATGTCATAAGATCTATTTAACCTGAATTTGCCACATTTGTGTAGCCTTTTTTTCTACATGTCACAAAACAATTGTAAAAATATGACTGCTGACCGAATGATATATTTTACTCAAATTGTATATTTTCCCATTTTTTTTTGGTACAGACATTTCGGTGTGAGTAGTTTTGTTCTAGAAATTTGAACAAAAAGTATATCTTTGCTTGCCATTTCGACCAATCAAAATTCCCTAAAATTTTATGCTATATGCTTATCAAATTGGTTGCCCTAGAGCCATGACAATCAATCAGAAATGACGTAACGTCCCCAACAAGATCTTACGACATAAATATATACAGTTCGTTCCAATCAAAGCTCTGCACAGGCAGACACTGTTATTTAAGAAGTTATTTAAGAAGACACTGTTATTTAAGTTACTTTATTTTGAAAAGCTCGGATTATATACTTGCGCATCGCTCTCTTGTCGAATGGTAAAGAGGCAGCTGAGATGCGCGGTTTGAGTGACGTCATCTCACGGTACTCCCGTAGTATGTAAACCAAGATGGTGGACCACGGAACGTAGTATGTGTACCAGGTTAGGGTTAGGCCATAATTTCAGTTACAAATACTACGGAAGTCACTTGGTTAGTCCCCGAGTTCGTAGTAGAACTGGAATAAAATTATGGCCTAAACCTAACTTGGTACACATACTGCGTCTGCCATCTTGGTTCACATATTACTGGATCGCCCATCTCACTCGTCGGCACGCTTGGGTGTTCGAGCGCCGCCACAGTTTTGAATTTTTTAGGTCAACCACTGAGGTATCACTGTTGTTGTGTAGTCAGAATTGGCGAAAGTGATATCGCTTATCTCTATGATTATGTACACATACTTATTCCCTACTAATCAGAGCTGGGTCCATGTAGCCACAGTGTTTTTTTTGTGGATGGAGGTGGGAAATGGAGCTGAAGCCTGAGATACCAGAAAATTAGTGGCTCCAACTTTTAACCATCTAATTCTTTTTCTAGACTTATAATTTTTTCATACCTCATACAAATAACTTCATACAAATAAAATCAGTAGGCATCTTATAATTTTTTCAATTTTGATTTTCTTGTATGAAATTGAAGTTTCAATTTTACAATATAAAAGTCCCTATAACACAGATTTAACTCTCGCATAACTGTATCTGGATTAATGTGTCATGTAGTGCTCATACCAAAAAAACAGCAGACCAGCAGATGAGTAAACCAGCAGACCTTGAGTCACATTTGATATATTGTAGCTTCGGAATTAGAGCTAGAACCATAGTGATTTCAAATCAGCTCCTCATCCCTGTATTAAAACTTGAAAATTCACACAAGGATTTCCTGTGCGAAATAGAAAACACATTTAGTGCAATGCTGATTTAAAATTTAATTTTGCAGAAGCAGAAAGGAAACTCGAGATCATTGTGATTTCATGATCATAGCTGGCTCTGAAGAAATCCCAGTTCATAAGAATATTATATCTGTAGGATCTGATTATTTCAAAGCAATGCTGGCTCATAATGTAAGTTGTGTTTATGTGTTATCTCAGCCATAAACTGTTTGAGTTAGCTAACTCTTTCACAGTTAGTACTGTTACCCTTGTTAATGTATTTTAATCATTGGTATTATCACACTTCAGAATGCTGAGACAGCGTCTGGTAAAGTAGAAATGAAAGAGGTTGATCCATTATCCCTGCAAGAATGCATAGAATATATTTACACTGGTGAATTATCTACTACTGATGAAAATGCTGAATCTTTGATGTTTGTGGCTGAATTACTACAGTTGAAAGGTGAGGATTCAAAATAGATCTTTCTTCTGGGTTGTACCAAAAGTCACTTATTCCTCTGTGATTTAAATTAACTAGACAATCCCACTGCAAATGGAGATATTTGGTTTGCGAGCGCCTGCATTTCTTTTGTTATACTGGCAAGTTTCTCATTGACCCCAGTTGCCATTTTTAATGAATACAGACATGTCTATTTCTGATTTAATTCTGTTAATTTGTCATGTCACTATTTATCAATTTTCAAGTCAAACAAGGTTACTTTTACGTAAATGAAAAAATTTTATTTCAACGTTCGACTTCTATTTATGTGATTCGATGATTGCAATTAAAACTTATGTTCTCTCTAGAACTTACATGGGCAAACTACGGCCCACGGGGCAAATCTGGCCTGTTGGGTAATTCAATCTGACCCGCCTGATCCTGCCAGAATCAAACTAAAACCAAATTTTTAAGTTTTGGCTAATAATAGCTCAAGGAATTTGTTGAGATTGCGATTAAATTTAGTTTCGACACGGGGCTTATTGTATTCCACTTTTGCTTTTGTAACACTGTAAATATTGCTCATAAAATGTAAGTTTACGTCACAATTACATGGCCCGCCAGTCTAAATTGGCAAAATGTTTGGCACCCAGTCAAAAAATCTTGCCCACCTCTGCTCTAGAATATGTCCCAATCGGCATGGATTCTGTTTTTTTTTTCGGTTTACCTTGTATTAATCCAATACATCACAAGGAAAGGCTACCAAATAACAATATGTATAACAGTTTGTTTTATTATAACAGATGTCTGTGGAGGCATCGTTGATTTACTTGAAGAAAATCTCGAATCATCTGCAGAATCATTCTTTGCGACAAAAAGAATCGCAAACCTGTACAATTACAAAGAATTGATGGAAAAATGCGAAAAGTTCATGCTGGATAAATTTGAAGAAATTTCTGTTCTTGATGAGTTCAAGGGAATAGAGGAAAAGGAGTTTGTTAGATTGATCAAGTCACAAGATAACAAGGTATTTTTAGTGTTTTGTTAGGTTTGTTTCACTCCTTCATTCTGAACGAGACTTTATACAAGTAGTCACTCACTTCATTGGGGGAAGGTTTTAAGTTCAGGCTGACCAAAGTAAACTTTCCATGATACAAGCAGCCACTCAATCATAAGAAACTACCTGGCTTAACCACCTCGGTTAAGCTGATAGGAGTGGCCTTCCTGCCCTTGAATGCCTGGTTTAGCCTGCTAGCCACTAGTTTTTTTAATTAAATAAATATTCAAGCAAGGACTTCCAATACATTACTACATGAATGCTGGACATTTGTCAATTCAATAGTCTAATTAATAGATACAACCGAATATTCCCATGTTCTATATTTTTTCTAGGCATTAGAGAGTGTCAAGCTAGAGGCGTTGGTATCTTGGATAAAACATGAGCAAAGAAATCGCACGAAACTTCTGAAGAAATTGAACAACTACATTGATTTGCATAAAGTACCGGTGACTTATAGAAGATTCCTTGTTGAAAACGAGGTCGGCTACTTTAAAATTTACATATCGAAACCATTCCTTTCTACTAGGATATTTGAATATACTATTGGAATGTTAGTTGACTAATATTGACGAGCGCTGTCGGGTCGGCGTTGTGGATATCTTTATTTTCGAATTACCAGGACTCAGAGGTCATGATTCGAAGCCGGAGTTGAAATCTTTATATCTTGATGCCGGAAAATCAGCCTTATATTGTCGATGATCAGAGTCAAAATTTCAGAATAAAACTCAAAAGAACGTTAAGTTACTTCAGTATTCACAGCGCTCAGTTTAAGAAAGATAGCATAGGCAAAGCGAATGTTTTTGTTTTTTAAATATGTTTTTTTGTTTTAAGTTTGCAGGTGAAGACAAGACCAAATTTTCTTTAACCCGGAGTAGTTTTTAAATGTGTTTAGGATCGAGTGTATACTCCACAGTCTTACTGATGATTTGTCTACGTTATTCTATATTTTTGCGAAATCAATTTCCTTTTCTTATATCATTCAACATTCAATGGAATAACATAACACACTTTGGTTGTTACAGCCAATGGTAAAGTCATGCCATGAATGTTCTCACGCTCTACTAATATCTGTGTTGGACAGCTTGAACGTTGGTGCTTCAAATGTTCACTCTGCTGCAAATATAAAGCAAGAAGAAAAGGAGGCAAGTAAGTTGAATTAAGAAGTAGACAATACAGAATGCCATTTGTTACCTAGAACTTAGAAACTAACCTAATTATGGATTGGTTAATTAGTGTGTATTATGGAGTTTACAAAATAAACGATCTATATACCTGTCTGGACCTGAATCGAACGATGCTATAGTTGTTGTCTTTGCTTTTCATTTCTGATACCAACTTTATTTTTTACAGTTGCAGTGTTTGATCGTAATTCAAAGAGCCTGCAATGCTTTGACCCTCAGAATAATACTTGGACAAAAATGCAGGTTGGAATTTGGCAACCGTCAACTCGGTATCTCAGTCTAATCGTATTATACATAGAAAATATCATTCATTAGTCTTCATTATTACTCCAGATGATAAAATAAATGCTCCAAGCTTGTGTTTTTATGCGATTGGATTGCAAGATATGGTTGTGGTAGTTCCACATATTTTATTAATGTGTTACTTATTTATTTCGACTGTTCTTGGCCATCTTATCAGCTCTTGATTTTCCCTTTCTTGGGATAAATTTAAAGTCAGATACCTGACTTGTACGTATGTAATATAGGATGTACATATTTATCCCAAGAAAGAGAAAAGACAATAAGACGGCTTAATCATGGCGCCTTGTCCGTTTACCGGTCAATGTCTGGCATGGGATTAGTTTTGTTTGCAAGCATTGACTGGATGGTGGAGGAAGCCGTAACCAACCGCGGTAACGTGAACCACCCTACATCGGCCATGAGTCCAACAATCCTTCTGCACATAACCATCCAGTAATGGATTTTTAACCTGCGACTGCGCAGGGTAATCAGAGATGAGGTGGAGAGCGTATTCCTAACGCTTGGCATGAAGTGCCATCTGTGAACAAGGCATTTTTAGGACGAATATTCGAATGGGATTAGATTCTCTCATCCCGATTGACAACGATTTCTTCAATACAATATTGTTTATTGAAATTTTCCAGAACATGCCTGGATCAGGAACTGACTTTTCTGCTGTGGCTCTTGGTGACTACATTTATGTTCTCATGATTGATCAATCTGTCCATCGGCTGAAATACTCAGATCATGAAGCTACTTGGGAGAGAATGAATGATATGATGTATAAACATGGGCAGTGTCCTCCTATTACTGTTTTGTCTGGTAAGAATTGCTTCAAAAATCTTTTGCTAAACATTATCTTGGACTAGTAATTGAGTTTTTCAAATATCTTGTTGCTGTCTGTTTGAAGTGAAGTTACCTCAAGAATTCTTAGTACTGGTCTGTATAAGAATTTAATGAAAAACACATTTTAATAGCATTTGGTATCTAATTCCAGTTCAGCCTTGTATTGTAACTATATCACTTCATTGTGGGTGACCCAAAATTCTTCTGAGCGCTTTGTGCATAAAATACTGATAATTTTATTCTGATTCGCAAAACTTCACTTAATCAAAGTGTTCAAATACAATTATATTTTCATATTACCACCATTGAAGAATTATAACACAATCTATCTGTGTAAGAAATCGTTGTTGTTTCATAAGATCATATATTGCATACATATATAAAAATTGCCGAAATAATTAGGATTGAGTTACCTTGCTAAAACACACAGATCCGGACTTGAAAGACCAAAGGACTCGAGTTTATTATACAATACTCGAACACTCCTGTTTTAAGATTACTAGTTACATGTTTGAATATATCCCATAAAGATTTATTTTTTAAGTGAATGTTTTGTCATTGTGTTATCTATTATTATGACATCATATGTTCTTTACTTTATCTTCTATTATTTTACAAGTATCATTTGCTTTCTATCATTGGTCTGAAATATAAATTGTTTACAGGAAACCTATACGTTGTTGGTCATTTAGATGATAACTCAAAATCAGTTGAAAAGTTCGATCCATCAAGCAACAAATGGGAAAAAGTAAAAGACAAAAATCTCAGCAGTCGTTTTTCAACAGCGCTGGGTGCTAGAGGTTAGAAGGTGTTGTTTAATAAATGTCATTTACGTTGAACTGGCTCGAAACAGGCAGTCATACGATAGGATAATAAATGGAATTGTCGCTGGACCATATAACCAACTTAAGAAATCTAGCTGAACCAATAAATGCTCTGTTTTACAGTAATAAAGGCATCGGACAAAACGGCGAAGTATTTAACACATTAAAAGGAGCCCATGTGGGCGACTATTTAAACATATACTGTCGGATTAACTCTTTATGCTTGATGGGGGAAAATCTAAGTGTGGACGAGGGCCACACTAGATAGCTTTGCGGTCACTAAATAGCTTTGCCTGTTGCAAACCGCTGGTCTAAACCAAACAGGAAAAATACCGTCTTTAACAGACCAGTAGGTTGTTTCGTATCCGTGGTTGCTTTTACAAAGTGTTCTTATGAAGCAAACTTGCTATACACTTCGGTAACTAAAAAATGACTGCCAACAGATGTCCCTAATTTGTCCCTAATTTTCATCGAATACCAGAATGCAGAAAACACTTGAAAGTAATAATCCCTGTTTAATTCCAGGTTGTATATACAGCATTGGTGGGTCGGTACCATATCACTACACCAACCAAGTAGAAAGATTTGACCCAACATCATCAACTTGGTCATTTGTTGCATCCATGAATGAAGCAAAAGGCGATGCCGCAGCTGTTGAAAATGAAGGGAATATATATGTTCTAGGTAGGTTGGTGTTTGTTGCTAAAATGTACGAGGACTCAAGAAAAAAATATATTTAGAGGTGCCCATAATAATATTTAGTTTTACATAAAATAGCAATTGACCAGAATATTTAAATGATCGTGCTTCAAGATATCAAATGCAATGCCAACATGTAAGCATCGTCATCAACTACTAATATTCCAAACATGTTATTCTGCAAGATTGCAGAATTATATTGTTATGTGACGAATCATGTTCAAATGTTTGTGTACCTATATATTACACGAATGCAAAGGTCAATCCAATTGCCGTGTAAACTGTAAACTCATAAATACATTTGGTAATGTTTCGCCCTTCTTACTAGAGATGGCTGCAAGGACGTATATGTAGTTGAAATTTGATTGATATTCAGACATACTGAACAAGTTCCAAAATCTTCAGTTCAGGCTAGTAAAATTTTCCGCATTATATTCATCACCTTGCAGTTGTTACCTGCCATCATGTTAGTTCACTATTCCATTTTTATTCATTTATTGCTTTGTCTTGTGTAGCTGAGATTGTCAAAAGATGGATAAACATTGTTTTGTATCATTTTAGCAAAATTGCAAGCAGATATAAACAAACTGTTTATATTATTCAGGTGGATATGCGAACAATCACTTGAAAACTGTTGAACGATATGATATTTCAACAAACTTGTGGTCCATGGTAACTCCCATGTTAACGAAGCGGAGCTGGTTTTGTGCTTTTGTGATTGATTCAGATATTTACGCAGTTGGAGGAAGGAACAGGTAGAGTTATTGAAATTTATTACAACATGGTAGGCACTAGGGCAGGGGTTCCAAGCTTTTCTCAGGACGACCCCAAAGACAACTTTCAAGTGTCCAGTGCGACCCCAGGTCAATATATATTTTTTCCATGTAACTTTAGAGCTCTTTCACTGGACTTTTGAGTTTGGTCGTGTGGTGGTAATAAGTAAAATAAGCTAAAACATTTAAACTTTTGATTTTAATTAAAAATACCGAAATAACAAAAAAAAAGTTTTAAAATTGAAAATTTCTTTTATTGGGAATGGTCACTGTTTAATTTTAATCAGTTTCCTGTATCTGGGGATGTATGATGTCAGGCAGCATACCAAAGAATTTTTCAAGTTTATGTTTGTTATGCGGCTGCGATAATCACTTTTAATGAACTTTTACCATACCTCAGCGACCCCACCGACACCATGACCTGTTTGCGACCCTACCTTCTTATCACTCCGATCCAATTTGGGGTCGCGACACGGGGCACCCCTGCACTAGGGTCTTCTGTTTTGGAGATTTTGTTCTGAAATACTTATTCCCAAAGAAATATTTGTTCCCCTGTATTCATCACTATAAGTGTTGGGCCAATCTAGTGTCTATATTGTCGATGCTCACAGAAATAAACTGAAATCTCTATATTTTTCATAACTTTGGATAGATAATCTCTTTTGGTTTGAGCTCTTTGTGCGGATAGAAGAAGCAGTATAATCATATATATATATATATATATATATATCACTATGAAGTTTGAATCAGTGTCTGCCACCTGCGGTAACCGGTCATTTTTACTTTTTTCGTATCTTGAGTTACTGTAGAATTTAAAAATCTATTTTCAATGAGTAGCCTAACAACCACTTTACAAACCATTTGTCTTGTAGAACTGAAATAATCTTCTCTGTATTTTTCAGTTCACCAGGAAGCATGGAGAAGTTTGATTTCAAGAAGAATCAATGGGAGATGATTGACATGAAGAACATGGATCTGGCGATACTCGATGCAGTGAATATGAATTTGAAGTGATTTGATTGTATATGACAGAGAACAGTTCCTTGTGTTACCATTCAAGGACATACTAGTAGATTATGTTTGTATTCTTACTATTATGGAATTGTATGATAGATATTTGACATTTAATATGTGCTCGTGTTACCACTGAGTAAATTTTTTAAACTTCTATAATGATTTCTTGCATTACTTACCGTAATTAATTCATATAGTTTTCTTAAATGTAATTACTCAATGACATTGCCTAGAAAACGTCAACTCACTGGACATAGCTATGTTTACTACTGATGTGAAGAAATTTTTTTAAATGATTTGTTTGTATTAAATAGCCTAGTTTGTTTGTAGCATTTTTTTTATGTGAATTCCGATTATGACAGTGTGTAGTCGGACAGAATTGATGCCCATATAAAAAAAGATTGTTGGTTGATGGACATTCTGACTCCTGCTCTCAACGACAGGAAAACAGAGTTTATAAATCTTACATTGGCCTCGACTCCTCAGCCCTGATTTAGCTTGCTTATCATTTAAAGTTAATTTTTGGCAAATTGGAGTGGGATTCTATATCCTTGTTATGTAAAATTTGTCACCAAATATCATAGATCATTGGAAGCGAGTGTTATATATATGGCCATTGGCCAGTAAAAATTGAATTGATTTATTGATTTCTATTCAGTTTTTAATGCCATTCGATATTATCTGGGTATGAAATATGGCCTTGTGCATTCTTCAAACGGTTTCTTATTCAATTGAATTCACCTATCATTTCTTAAATCAAAATCCGTGAATGAATTGCAATTTATAAATTAGCAGATGCCTTTTCCGCACAATATAATATATTCAATATAGTTTTACTTTAAACAAACCTTTTCCAGCGCTATCTGCAAAATACTTATACAATAAATTGCATTCATCTTTGTATAGATGTTGTTGTTATTAAAGTTTATTTCTGCTTCCAATATATTCGATGATGATTATTTTTTTTTCATCTTTGCTGTATATTTTATCGCATAAATGCAATCAATACTTTACTACCATGCATCTAACGCTGAATTCAATTCTTCACTTTTTATCTGTTTTGAAAATCCACTGCATGATCACATAGTTTGAATTGATTACGTTTGATGCATTCCAAATGTTTGAACTTTACATTGTAACAAACCTTTATTAAATAAACTAACGAATTAATTAATTTGTCCATTTCTCAAATTCTACGTCAATTTTGAGGATTGCTTTGGTTTTCAGAGAAAATTTGCTTCTTTAGTTTCAAGTGGGAATTTATTGCTGTTGAACCTGGAAAAGACGATTGCACTTTAAAATGTACTTTATTGTGACAAAAAATAAAAACCTATTCATGGAGAAGGGAAATTCTAGATCAAAAATTTTACTAATTACATTTCTGAAATTAAAATAAATTTGTAATATTTTTCAATTTTAAATTATATTTCTCCCATTTCATGAGATATGTACATGTGGTAGACGGTTTCATGCCTCGATTTCTATTCCGATGATTGCATGATCTTTACAAGCTCGCAAATTAAAATAAAATTGTAGCCTAGTGTTTCGAAACTTCACTGAAACTACCAAATAAACTCGGTTTTAGAAAAACAAGCAATTGTTTATGACCAAGCTTGAAAATCTGTCCCAATGTAAAATGCGACTGTTCAATTTCAACTATTACATCGCTGTAATCTTATTGATTATAGCTATAAAAAGGAAGTCGATCTAGAAAACAAGCTGCAGCAATAACATATTCAATTACATACATAATATAGCAGAGATGCGGCCTGTAATAAAATGTTGGATCATTTTCTAATCAAATATCGTGAAATGACTTCTTATGAGAGTTGCCAATGAAATAAATATAATATATGCGATATATACAAGTAATCGCTGTTAATTTGAAAAACCATGCGACTCCTATTTACATGGAGAAAAAAGTTCACATACGTCCGCTTTTCGGTTTGTTTACGACTGCATTTTAAAACTAATTTCGTCTACGCTTTTTATTGGCCCATGTATGAGTAAAGTACTGGCCATCATTGAAATCCTATACAATCATGGCGGAACGTTGTGCGCCAGTAAACAGCTATGAGATACCGTGCAACTGAAGTTCTGAAAAACTTCTGTCATAAAAATTTCTTTTTATTGGGCTACGCTAAAATACTTCATGATGCAAAGACGTAACAGTGATATTTTACAAATCAAGTGTGAACTCAAGGGACAAATATCGGCGAGAACGGTGAAGAGACCGAATTTTCATTGATACGTTCCGAGTCATTGACATAAATAATAAGTCAAAATTTCATCGAAGTATTGTTTGGTTGTCGCATACCTGCCAATAATGCGCAAACTAAGGTCACTGTCAACCCTATTTGCATAAAAATTGGTCAAAAATTATTTGTGCAGGCCACAACAAGGAAGTATAAACAAAGATGATTACGGTAGTTCGACCGAGAAGAGAAAATATTTCAGGTGGTCGCACGCTTTTCTTTCACTAGGACAGGTTGGGATTAACATATTTATCCTTGGGGAGCGGAAATCCGATAATAGGGCTTAACCATATGGCGAACCACGGCCTCTCGCACGGTTACCATTTCATGTCGGATGTTGGATTAGTTAGTTATTTGTTTTCGGAAGTATGGACTTGGTGGTGGAGGAATCCGCAACCGACAAGCGGTTACGTTAATCGCCCAACGACGGCGATTTTCATAAGTTGGTATACAGACCCTAGGGTTTATGATATGACACATTATTTAGATAACTTCAGCTTGTGACATAGAATATTTCCGAAAAACTCACTCAGGGTTTATGATAATGGGACCTGGACGAAACTACTTTTAACCACCAAAAGCTTCGCTAAAAACACCGCAAGTTTGTCACGTAACCGCTTTGTAAATGATGGCTCAGCCGTCATTTTATTTATTGCCCTTTGTCGCCTCATTGTGGTACTTTAGATTGTTGCGCAAGTTTGTCTCGTGGTTGCGCCATTTTCAGGATTTTGTTGAACAGGCTGACAGGGTTTGTGCTTCTCTGATTTGGTCTAATATATTATTCTTTTTCCATACAGTTAAGATTGTTTAAATGTTAAATATTGAAGTACCTGCTTGTTTGTGATATTATTAGCCGAAAAAATCGGTAAGTCATATTTTATGTGAAGATATTTCTGTATTTAGGAATTCATTTGCTGAGTGTTCCTACTTGCTTAATATATGATTTTCATTCCAAATTCATATTAGTATAGAATAAGTAAAACACTGTGTGGACAAGTTATTGTATGCTCTTTATTCATAAGTTATTCATGCCTTCTTTATCGTGTGATCAAGTACCGGTAGCCTATACTGTATTTTGCCAATGTCTCTGGTATTTTTAGATCATCACTGTTGTGTTTTGCTTATAAGTTTTACTCTTATTTTAATTGCAGTTTAAACACTTCTTCAATTCATTGAGACTTTATATTGGAACATTTCATCAGTCCACTGAGACACTATTTTGGAACGCTTCATAACATCTAAGTTATTTCATTTGGTCATCTTTGAACACGATTTGGAAGTAACATCAAAACATTGTGTTGGACAGTTTCTTGGGGTTTCCAGGTTTCGGTGAGTGCAGCAGTGAGTTAAACGACGGTTATACCTACACGGCGGAACATACGACTGCGAGTCTGCGACAAAAGGGTTAAATAGACTGTTAGATTCGTAGCATCGTGAACAGCGGCCGTAATAGTAAACGATTTTGTCGATTGCTAACCAAGTTAGTAAACGATTTGGCTTTACTGACCAAGTTAGTAAACAATTTTACACTATTGCAAACAAGTTGGTAAAAGATTTCAAGATCTACTAAGCAAGTCAGTAGAACAATATCAGAATATTGATGATCAATAAACATGTTATTGTAATTTTGCGAAACTTCACCCTATCAGTGAATACAAGATATTTGTACCAAGAAAAGGGAATATACATTATTAATCATGGCTACAGCAAGATCTACAAATGCAAGTGATGACGTGGACTCTAATTCTGGTAATGATATGAGAGAAAATCCCAGAAGGTCTGAACGTAGCAGAACACTTACAGAAAAAGGACAAGAATATCAAGTTAAAATGCTTCTGGAAAGGTGTAAGTCGAAATTTGAATTGTTTTCAAAAATAAGAATGAAGCTCCTGAAAAGTATTGATGATGGTGTCTCATTGCGTACTATAAAAGACGATTTGAAAACCTTCGAATTATGTTTTCATGGCTATCGTACAGCACATAAGGAGTATGTAGCATTGTTAGTTGATGCCAAGGCTATTAATGAAGAAAATGATATTTTCATAAATGCTCAACATTTGTTTGAAGAATTTCGTGCTAAAGCGATTGAAGAAATTAGAAGCATCGAGACTGATAAAGATGTCAGTTCTGTACATACCAGTCTTTCAAGATATTCTCATAGATCTTATTCTTCATCATCGAGTTCATCTGTGGCGTTTAGGCTGGCTGAAATAGCTGCCAAGAAAGCCTCATTACAAGCAGAAGCTAGTTTTGCTGAAACTGAAGTAAAAATTGCACAAGAGGAGGCAAAATTGAAATCAGAATTAGCACAAACAGAAGCAAAACTCAAAGCTGAAGCTGTAAGGCTACAAGCAAACGTACAACAAGCTGAAATACAATTACAAGCTGACAAGAGAAGACTGAATCTGCAAAAGGAAATTGCTAAAGCAGAAGCAGAAGAGAATATTTTTGCTCAAATTGATTGTGAAAATGATAGCTTTAGTAGACGTGATGTGACACATTTTGCACCGAACGAACCTTTTGTAGTAAGTCCGCATCAATTCTATACTGCTGAACAAACTGCTTTAACGAATGAAAATTTGGTACTGGCACCTGAAAATACAGCTGTACCATTTGTTACAAATCATATGAATGCAAATCCTGCTTATTCGAACACTGCTGAAAACGAAGTTTCAAATCCATTGAATTTGTCTACTGCACCACAAAACCCATCGGCAGATGGCGCTAGTAGTTCAGAAATTAAAAGACTAGTTGAAACAGTTGTTGATATTCAACAAAGGGCTTCATTGCCAAATGAAGAACCAGAAGTTTTTGATGGTGATTTATTGAAATTTCCTATATGGCTTGGAGATTTTGAAGATCTTATTGAAAGAAATGTTCGAAACCCTAACAGGCGTCTTCGTTATCTTTTGAAGTATACGACTGGAGATGCAAGAAAGGCTATTGAAGGTTTCATGGGCATAGATGATGAAAACGCATATAATGAAGCAAAAGCGACACTAATGGAGTGGTATGGCGACTCGGCTACAATATCCAGAGCTTACAAGCAAAAGACTGAAGCAATGGCCTATCATACCTATGAATGATGGCGGAAAAGGAATGCGTGAGTTTTGTCATTTTCTTACTAGTTGTAAGCTATTGGTAAAAAATTCTACGTTACTGAAGAAATTGGATGATGAAGACTTAATCCAAGTTCTTGTTTTGAAATTGCCAAAGTCGGCAAGAGATAGATGGTCGTCAAATGCATGTGAATATCACAGAAAACATGGAAGCTTTCCACCATTTTCTGAATTCTGTGATCATGTCAAGAAAATATCAAAAGTAACTACACTTCCTCTGTATGGAACTGGAGTACTTGATGAACTTGTGGCTAACAATAAGAAAGCTGCAAATGTACCCGTTAGAAGAAGGACTTATAATAGAGGTTCTCACTCGTACTCTATTGATGCAAGCGAAGAAGTTCACAGTTCTCGACAAACAGCTAAGTCGAAAACTACCCATTTCTCAGATTCGTGTGTGTGTTGTAAAGGATCACATGATCTGAATGATTGTACAGCTTTTCTCAAGAAATCTTACAATGACCGAATCGAATTTATCAAGTCAAATGGCATATGTTTTGCATGTCTAAGAAAAGGTCATCGTTCGAAAGGATGCACCAAAAGAAAGACTTGCAAAACTTGTGGTAAAGGTCACCCTACTGCCATACATTCAGAAGAATTCGTTCGCAAGGTCAAGACGAAGATAGATTCAAATGAAGAAAATAGTTTAACGAATGCTGATTGTAAGAAAAGTATAATCTGTCATGCATCAGAAGCTCGAGAAGTTATTCGAACTACAAGGATTGTACCAATACAAATACTTTGTGCTAATCGACCAAGCAAGAAATTAAAAGTTTATGCAATTTTAGATGAACAATCTGATACCACATTCATTTCGGATGATGTCAGACGAAGCTTGAAATCAAATGGATTTAAGGTGAGATTGAACCTTTCTACAATGACCAGTTCGACTGTGGTGGATTCATACAAAATTATGGGCTTGCAAATTTTAGGTTGTAATGGCCACAAGATAGATTTGCCTCCATGTTACACAAGAGATTCCATCCCAGTAAATCGTAATCAAATTATAGACAAGAGGGTTCTGAACAAGTATACAAAGTTCCAAGATATTCTAGATGAAATCCCGGACTGTGATCCTAATATTGATATTGGTATACTCATTGGCACTGATTGTATGCAAGCATTGCGTCCGTTGCAAATTATATCAGATGCCGACACAGAAAGTTATGCTATCAAAACAGCATTAGGATGGGGAGTTGTTGGAATGATTGATGCAGTATGTGTTGGTGGATATGCTACCAAAACTTGTAACAAAGTGATATCACATGACCTGTATGCACCTGATATCATTTCTCCTCAATTTGTACCTATAAATCAAGTTAAAGAAGTCATTAACCCTTGCATGATTTTGAGAAGTTTTGAACAAGATTTCATTGAATGCATGCACAAGAATAATATCAAAAAGCAAGAAATTGATGGTACATCGAACAAACCTATTTCTATCGAAGATCGTAGATTTTTGCAGAAGTGTCAATCAAGTATTCACAGGACACAGGATGGTCATTATGAGATGTCTCTCCCTTTTCGAAACAAAGAAGTGAAGCTTTCAAACAACAAGCAATTAGCTCTCAGATGCTTACAAGGAATTAAGAAGCGTTTTGAGAAAGATGAAAGGTTTAAAGAGCTTTATTGTGCATTCATGAAAGATGCAATTGAAAAGGGATATGCTGAGAGAATGTCCGATGGTGACAATGGTAATCATGGATATGTATGGTATATTCCACATCATGGAGTGTTTCATCCTTGTAAGCCAAACAAGATCAGAGTTGTATTTAATTGTAGTTCTGAATTTGAAGGTCAAAGTTTAAATGGGCATTTGCTACAAGGACCAGATCTTACCAACTCACTGATATCAGTACTTGCTCGATTTCGTGAAAGGGAAATTGCGTTTATGGCAGACATCGAATCAATGTTTTATCAAGTTCGAATTAACGAAGAAGACAGAGATTTTGTCAGATTTCTGTGGTGGGACAATGGAGATTGCACGAAAAAACCTAGTTGTTACAGGATGCGAGTCATGGTGTTTGGTTCTACGTCGAGTCCATCGTGCTGTAATTTTGTCCTCAAGAAGACTGCAGATGACTATGAAAAGGAATTTGGTGAAGAAGCAGCTCAATTCTTGAGAAAGAATTTCTACGTTGATGATGGTTTAAAGTCAGTTGATAGTGTTGAAGAAGCAACATCGTTGATCAAAGCAAGTAAGAAAATGTGTGCTAAAGGTGGTTTCAATTTGACAAAATTTGTGTCTAATAATAATGAAGTTTTACAAGCTGTTGATGAGAATGATCGCTCGACAAAGTTCAAGAATTTAGATCTTGGAAGTAACCCAATACCAGTTGAAAGAGCACTGGGTGTTCAATGGTGTATTGTGGATGACAGTTTCACTTTTCGTATTACTCTGAAAGATCGTCCTTTCACAAGGCGTGGAATTCTGTCAACAGTATGTTCAATCTATGATCCGTTCGGATTTATTGCTCCTGTTATCTTAGAAGGAAAACGCATTCTTCAGGAGTTGTGTCGTGATAAGTGCAAATGGGATGAACCCGTTCCAGATAATTTGAAACCAAGATGGGAGCGATGGAGAAATGATCTTCATCATCTTGCCGAATTAAAAATTCGACGATGTTTCAAGCCAAGTAATTTTGGTGAAATCAAGGAAACTGAATTACATCACTTTAGTGATGCCTCGACTCGTGGATATGGCCAGTGCACCTATTTAAGACTGACCAATCAGAAAAATCAAATTCATTGTTCATTCGTGATGGAAAGTCTAGAGTAGCACCATTGAAACCTATCACGATACCTCGATTGGAATTGACTGCGGCACTTGTATCTGTTCGGGTTGGAGTCATGTTGAGACAAGAATTGAATTTTGTCAACATCAAGGAAACATATTGGACAGACAGTAAAGTTGTTCTTGGTTATGTTTCAAATGATTCTCGTCGATTTCACATATATGTGGCAAACCGTGTTCAAGAGATTCGTGATCATAGTGAGCCAAATCAATGGTTTTATGTGGATACAAAGAACAACCCCAGCTGATGATGCCTCAAGAGGTTTGTGTCCAAAAGATCTACTGACCAAACATGATCGATATCTAAAGGGACCTGATTTTCTGTGGAAACCACTTACAGTGGAAAAAGAGTTTTCACATGAATTCGAAGAGCTTGATGCTTCGGATCCAGAAATACGTAATTCTGTGACATTTTTGACTGAAGTAAAAGAGCAATCCTTCCCAAGTCTTTTGGAGAGATTGTCAATGTTTTCAAGTTTATACAAAGCTCAGAGATTTGTTGTCATTTTATGCCGATGGCTGAAAATTCTTCAAAATCGTAGAAACAAGAATTTGACTTCATCTTTTGATTCAATAACTGTACAAGAGATGGAAGATGCTAAGAAGATAATTTTAAAACTTATGCAGTGTCAAGTGTATCCAGATGAAATCGAAATATTGAACAAACCTAAGAAATTCGATACTGTAAAGAAATCTTCATCATTATTCAAGCTTGATCCATGTATAAGATCTGATGGATTGTTGAGAATTGGGGGGAAGATTGAAAGATTCAAGTTTGCCTGAAGAATTGAAGCATCCTGTCATATTGCCCAAGTCTCATCATATTACAACTCTGATAATCAAGCATTATCATGAAGTCGTGAAACATCAAGGACGTGGAATCACACTCAATGAAATAAGATCTGCTGGATTTTGGATAGTTTCTGGCATTGCTGCTGTCTCAAGTTTCATACATCACTGCACAAAATGTAGGAGACTTAGAGGAACATTTCAAGAACAGAAAATGGCTGATTTACCAAAAGACAGAATGGATGATAGTCCATGTTTTTCATTTTGTGCTACAGATTTATTTGGCCCCTTCATTATCAAAGAAAGGAGAAAAGAACTCAAGAGATATGGAGTTTATTTACATGTATGGCATCGCGTGCTGTTCGTGTTGAAATCGCCCCAAGTTTAGAAACCGACAGCTTTATAAATGCTCTAAGAAGATTTATTTGCAGAAATGGGCCAATCAGACAACTGAGATGTGACCGCGGAACCAACATGGTTGGAGCATCAAGAGAATTAAAAGAGGGTCTACAGGCAATGAATCATTCAAAAATTCAAGAAGTTTTACTTCGAGAAAATTGTGATTATTTCCCATTCAAGTTCAATGTCAGCGCTGCAAGTTATCAGGGTGGTGTTTGGGAACGTCAAATTCGTAGTGTTAGAGCAGTTCTTTCATCCATCCTGGAAAAGAATGGAAGGCAACTAGATGAGGATTCTCTTCGCACTCTGATGGCAGAGGCTGAAGCAGTTGTCAATGGACGTCCTCTAGTTGTGGATAACTTGTCATGTCCTGATTCACCACTGCCTCTGACGCCTAATCATTTGTTGACTGCGAAGACAAGACTTGTATTACCACCACCAGGTGTATTTGGAAGGGAAGATTTGTACTCGCGTAAAAGATGGAGGAGAGTACAGCATTTAGCCAATGAATTTTGGATTCGATTTCGTAAAGAATATTTACAATCACTCCAAGTTCGTCAAAAGTGGAACAAAGTTCAACGTGACCTCAAAATTGGTGATATTGTCATAGTCGTTGACGAAAATACACCAAGAAATCAGTGGAAGATGGCAAGAATTGTTGATGTCTATCCCGATGCAGATGGTCATGTTCGAAGAGTTCGAGTTCACATAGGAGATTCAACACTCGATGAGAGAGGAAAGCGTATAAAGGATGTTCTCTTTCTTGATCGTCCAATCCAAAAGTTGATTCTTTTCTTGGAGAGTGGAGATACGGGAGAAGATTCCCGACGAGGGAGCCAGAAATAGACATTGTGAAATTGTAATTTTATTTTAGTATAGAAATAGCATTTCTAGGGGAGCCATGTAAATGATGGCTCAGCCGTCATTTTATTTATTGCCCTTTGTCGCCTCATTGTGGTACTTTAGATTGTTGCGCAAGTTTGTCTCGTGGTTGCGCCATTTTCAGGATTTTGTTGAACAGGCTGACAGGGTTTGTGCTTCTCTGATTTGGTCTAATATATTATTCTTTTTCCATACAGTTAAGATTGTTTAAATGTTAAATATTGAAGTACCTGCTTGTTTGTGATATTATTAGCCGAAAAAATCGGTAAGTCATATTTTATGTGAAGATATTTCTGTATTTAGGAATTCATTTGCTGAGTGTTCCTACTTGCTTAATATATGATTTTCATTCCAAATTCATATTAGTATAGAATAAGTAAAACACTGTGTGGACAAGTTATTGTATGCTCTTTATTCATAAGTTATTCATGCCTTCTTTATCGTGTGATCAAGTACCGGTAGCCTATACTGTATTTTGCCAATGTCTCTGGTATTTTTAGATCATCACTGTTGTGTTTTGCTTATAAGTTTTACTCTTATTTTAATTGCAGTTTAAACACTTCTTCAATTCATTGAGACTTTATATTGGAACATTTCATCAGTCCACTGAGACACTATTTTGGAACGCTTCATAACATCTAAGTTATTTCATTTGGTCATCTTTGAACACGATTTGGAAGTAACATCAAAACATTGTGTTGGACAGTTTCTTGGGGTTTCCAGGTTTCGGTGAGTGCAGCAGTGAGTTAAACGACGGTTATACCTACACGGCGGAACATACGACTGCGAGTCTGCGACAAAAGGGTTAAATAGACTGTTAGATTCGTAGCATCGTGAACAGCGGCCGTAATACGCTTGTCGGCTAAGGCTTCCTCCACGATCGAGTACATGCATTTAGAATAAATAGATGGCTATCAAATTTCATAACAGTAATCGTAAGACTGCTAATCGTAATATCACTAATATTATTGAGCCGTTTTAATTGAACGGCTTTCGTCTTCCACGGAAAAAAATATTTGTTACCGTATGGCTATTATGAGCCAATAACCTAGACTAACCCATGAGCGTTGTCGCACTATAATAAAACTCATACAACTGGTACGAAGCAAACAATATTATATTTTGAGGGAGAATGATTAAATTGCAATAAATATACAGCTGGCAAAAAAAGGTATAAAAAATTGTCAAACCAATAGTTAGAAATTATTTCCATACGCACGAACAATTAATTTCCTGTGTAGGATGAATTTTGAATGCTCTAAAACAGTGGTTCTTAAACTGGGGGCGCGCCCCCCAAGGGGGGCGCGAGATGCTCTCAGGGGGGGCGCGAGAGATCACAAGATGGAATCGGAAATTTACATGTAACGGCTCCTGAAACGGTCTCCGCGTTCGTTAAAAATACCGGCTTTTTCGTGTTATAATAAATTTTTCTGTCTCGTAATAACTACAATAATTCAAGATGTCTCTCTATTTTAAGTCATTTGTGTTCAAGGTAACTCGCGGTTGCGGCGACTTACGACAAAATAAACTCATTACCTATCTAAAATACCACGCCAATCCGCGGACATAATAAAGTGTGATCAACTGCCCGATTATATTTAGTTTTTATATTTATTGCACTCGTTGTCGTCATTAGAAAGATCTGGTATAATATTCCAGAGAGTATATTTAATTTAGTACAATTAAAATACATGTAAAGTATATATATTAGTAGATGAAAAATACATATTCATCGAAACGAAACCCACGCTGTACGGCTTTTGAGTCAGTCCTCGAGATTACGCCAGTCGTTAAAAGAGCCGACTTTTTCAACGGATATGTAATGGTTTTTCTGTTGAATAAAATATTCAATCCATGATTGATATACTTATTTAAAATGGTTGCTTTATTTGTTTTGATTTTTATTCTTGCCAATTTCACCAATATGAGCTGTCCCTGCAACTCTTACTCCGCTCTATCGCAATGCCGACACTCGATTAATTCCAAGATATCACAGTTACAGATATTCCAGAGTCTGCGATCCCAAGGAGTAAAAATTTATATCAAGTCTGTGGTTTTAGAAAACTACTGGTGTGCCGCACGCACAAGGAATTTATGAGATTTTCAATGTCCAAGAAAGTGTTTTTAATCTGTCGCGGTCCACCCCAAAACAAAACTCATGGCGTTTTCCGTTTTATTTTTAGTAAATTTTAAGTTACGGGTTCACTTTTTTATTCTATCGTTAGCATCTCGTCGCTGATGATTATAATAAAAACTAACTCGTTTTCCTCAGAGGTGTTATGGTTCCATTCGAGAACAAAAAAAGTAATTATAATCGTCTTCGCGGCTCAAGAATATGTCGAGGGAAATTTCGGATTTAGGAAGAATAAACACCGAAATCAAGATTTTTAGGGCTTAAATAACACGCCACGCTGACGTAAACAATGGAGATTTGAACAAAATGCAATCGCAAACGCCTTAGCGACAACAATTGATTGAAATTTTACGTGTCTTATGTAAACGTTTAAGCAGAAAAAACATTAAAGCATAGGTTTATTGCTTGTTTAGTTTTACTTAATAATTAGATTGACTTTGCCAAGTATTGAAAACTGAGCGGAAAAACGAGAAAGTATGATGACCAACCACTATTTGGCTTTATACATACGACAGTGAATGGAGAAGATGTACTCCGAAGCGTTTTATGCCTAAACAATCTGAGCAATGACGCTATGAGACCAACACTCAGTTATAGCGCCATCCTAATATATAACAACTTGTCCATCACAAAAGCATTTTTTCAAAGCAAAAAGAGGGGGGGCGCGAAGTATGTAAAATTTTTCAAAGGGGGGCGCGGCTCAAAAAGTTTAAGAACCACTGCTCTAAAAAGTTCTGCTATTTTGTTATTATTATTAATCTATTGTTATTATGACTCATTAGGTATATTGGCACTGGATTTCTCTTTGACCAATAAAAAAATAATAATAACTCAGTGTCGCAGGTGTTGTCGCAGGCCGTTTTGTTACTTCAAATTGAGACTGCTTCTTACTTACAGACCTATGGTCTCTTTGAAGTTTGTAATACTCGCTTTGTACTCATACCGGTGTCCGGTACGGTACCAGTTCATGTCGGGTACCGGTATGGAATTGACTAGTCAGTTTGTTTCAGATGCGTGGACTCAGTGGAGGAGAAAGTTGAAGCAGCAGTTATTTGAACCACCCTATTCCTGTATTCCTGAAATAAATCTTTGCAATTGCTTGTTCTAGTTTCACTGAATTTAACAAATTTCAAATTACAGAATTAAAATCTAATCGATTTTCCATACTACTGTTCTAAGCTATCAGCACTTATCCTTGTATAGAAAATATTTTCCTAAATTCGAGCCATTAATTCTACTTAAAATTGTCGGGGGAATTGTTACCGATTCACAGACAGATTGAAGTTTTGAATCTGGTTTAGTTGGATTCTAACTATTGAGGCATGACTGGTCAGAATATTCTCATTCTAATTTAAAGGTGATTGTGCTGCTATTTCTAATTTCTTGGTTTTTCATGTTAGGATAAGGTCAAATCACGGTAAAGTTGACTAGCACTGAACAAGTCTGAAATCAGAGGAATTATTACCAGTTTGAAGACTGATTTAAGTTTTTATTTATGTCTAGTGTGATTCAACCCCAAAACTTGATGATAGTTATTGAGGCATGGCTGGCCAGAATATTCTAATCTTAATATATAAGGGATTGTGCTGCTATTTCTACGATATTAACCTTTTGGTTTTTTATGTTAGTTCAAGGTCAAATCTTAGTAAAGTTGTCTATAACTGAACAAATCCAAAATCCTTTAAATCATATAGGAATCCATCTCAGTCTGTTCGTTAATCTATGGGTAGCAGGCTTGGGTCACCTGAAAATCTGCTCGGGTCGCTTGTTTTTTTTTTCAATAAAAGCTTAGTAAAAATTGCCGGCTTGCCCCTTTCATTTTCTAGTAACTTCCATTTTCTAGTAGATATCATTGTTTAGTTTATATAAAGTATTTAGGTGTTATTCATTAGTAGATGTCGTTCATTAGATTTTGTTCATTCATGTGAGCATATCCTTGTGTTATAACATATTACAAATTTTTTTTTATATTGGGAACTACTGTATTAGAGTATGCTTAGCCTATCGGTTTTCCTGTAATTGTACGTTCTGTTGAGAATGGGACAAGTTAATTTAGGCAGGTTTCATTTCCTTGTGTCATTGCGACTCACATTTATCCATTTCACTGTTGTTTATGGAATTACTTTTACAAGGCATTGTGACTCGAATGACCTGTGACTCGACTTGAACCGCGACTTCTACTCGACATTGGTATTTACGTATTTGGTAATGGGAATCATTGAAGCATGACTGGTCAGAATAATCCCAATACTTATGTGTCAGAGTGCTGTTGCTGCAATTTTCTAGTTTCCCATGTTGTCTTTAGGTCAAACCGTAAGTTGAACAGTTCAGAGTTTTATGTTTGTCCTAAGTATGATACAAATTTAACCTGAAGACTGTTTTCTATTTTTCAGAATCTAATCTTTAAAATTTAATAATGCTAGCTTTTGTGATATTTCGTATTCTCAATTTCATTGCTGCAAGTTTCTTTATTTTGTCAGATCCTGAGCTATGGATTCCAGTATATCTGGCTCCTGCTATCATTTCTGGATTAATTGGTTTTAAGCCGTCGCTATCTGAATCAAAATTAATAAAAGTTTTTGACTTTGGATATATTTTTTTTGGAACTATTTTATCTGCCTATTTGTTCTATCAAAACTATCAGGATAATTTCATCCACTGGGTGGTGCATGATGAAGTGGGGAGGGAGTTTGGCGGACTTGTGATCGTTATATTTTGGATTATTTTTATGCACGAAACATCACATTTATCTGTGAAGAATTGGTTATTGTCGGTTTTTATTTGGATTCCGATTGCAATGTGGATTTATCTTTATAACAATCAGGAATATATATTGGTATTATAACTCATTATATAACTCAGTGTTGCAGGTGTTGTGTTCGTTGAGGGCCGCTTTGCTACTTCAAATGAAGACCATGTCTTACTTATGGTCTCTTTAAAGTTTGTAATACTCGCTTTGTACTGTACTGTATGACCCCTTTACCATTGGGGTGCATTGTAAGTATAAGTATTGTTTGCCTCCTAGCATAGTCCAATCGCAATTGTTCAGTTTGTAGAATTGAATAGGTAACGGCATGGTACCTACCTGTATGTTGTATGTATGTATGTTTCAATCAATCAATCATTTTATTTCGGCTCTCTGACGTAAAACGGAACAACACAAAAAGTAAACAGGCAACAAATAGTACGTGCTCACCCACCAAAAAATAAAATAAGAATAATACAAGTATACAAAAAAATATGTGGCTCATCGTGCTAAGCGTTTGGAATACGCTCGCCACCGCATCTCTAATTACTCTGCATGGGTTCGAATCCTATGCGGGATAGTTATGTGCAAGAGAATTGTTGGACTCCTCGCCGTCGTAGGGTGGTTCACGCAATCCCTGGTCGGTTACGACTTCCTCTACCATCAAGTCCATGCTTCCGAAAACAAATACCTAACTAATCCCATACCCGGCATGGAATGGTAACCGGATGAGAGGCCGTGGTTCGTCATATGGTTAAGCCGTCTTATTGACTTTCCTCTCCTCGGGATAAATTTGTAAATCCTATCCTATCCCATGGACACAATTCAAAATCGGGAAATGCTTTCAACTCAAATCAAAATGATAAGACACATAAATCTGTAATTGCTGGAATCCGTGGATAATTTACATGGAGTAAAAAAGTGTTGCGCTTGAAATGAAACAGCAAAATTCGAGTAGATAAA